AAAACTTCCAACAGGCAGCTGAGAAAAATGCTTGAGGTCAACGCCAGGCAGTTCCCGCCAAAGGGAAAATTCTGCTTCTACAGTCAGTAACTTCTGTGTTCTAGGTTTTCCCCTGAACTCCCGAGCCACATCCTCATGGTGCACCTGGGCCCAGCAGCATGGTGAGGACACACTTTCGGACCCTGTAGCTGCATGGACAGGAAAGAAACGAAACTTCTGGGGCTTGAGTAGGTGGAGCAAGTAGACAACTCCACCCCTCAAAGCAAGAGAGCCACCAACAGATGTAGCTGGTGTTCCCGCCCCCCAAGGGGCCCCAGTGTGAACACAGCACTCCCCCTCAACACAGGCAGAGCCACTCCATCCCCCACTCCAACCCACCACCCCTCGGTCTTTACCAGGCAAGGAGACATTTTGGACGGATGGTCCAGATGAGAAAGTGACCACTTTAGCATTGAGAAGTATGTGTGTTCAATAATACAGTTCTGTATAATATTAATGATACCCAACCAGTTACATAACACTTAAATCTCACCACTACCATCTGAAATGGGTGTTGTTAATGTGACTACTCTCATTCTACACATGAAGAATCTGAGGTCCAGAGAAGTAGGTGACTCCTTTGGTGAAGGTTTATCAGTAAGAAAGCCAAAAGTTGAATTCAAACACACTGCTTAACGCAAAGGACAATCCCTCTACCCCAAGTCTGTAAGTCCATGCAGCCAGGTAGGATTTGGCCATTGTGTCTGAAAGTATGAGGCATGCAATTAAATTCAGGGAGGACATTTCTTTCTCCTAGAAGAGATTATGGTGTATGACCATCAGACCAGCTGAATAAATTAGCACGAATTTAAAAAGTCATTCTACTGGCCAGGGGCGTGGCTTTCATATTAGAGTGCTTGCCTGGCATGTGTGAGGCTCTGGGTTCAATCCACAGCACCAGGGGGAAAAAAATCCTACTGAGATGACCTTCAAGAGAAGCAGGACAATTCCCCTCCCTTAATGCATCTATTTGGGTATCCCAGCGGTGGTTGAATCTTTGTGTCACCTTGTAAGAAGTATTTACTGAGCACCTATGGATTGGTGTGATAATAATGACCTCATGTTAGTTTCCCTCCTTGAAAATGTTCTGTTAAAAAGAGATTGACCACACAGTGAGCTCCCACAGCAGGCAGCCCCCAGTGTGCGGAAGGATAGAAAATAATTAAAAATCAGAATGCACTCAAATTCAAAATCAAAAGGCACCCCTCCCCATGATGCCTGTGCGAATTAGAGACTGAAGCCTGAGGTGCAGGGGGCACCTGTGCTCTGTAATTACCAAGAAATGAGAGACCTCAGTGGGTCCTAGACATGAGCAAAAGAAAATGATTCCTGGACATCAGTGGAGTTATTAGGAATGCAAGAGACTAATGCACTGGGGCAGCAGCCAGGGGACAGTTGAGGCCTGAGCTGCAGCAGGAACAGCCCAAATGGTCTCCTGCTTCATGGTAAGCAGAGAAGAAATGAGTTGGAGGTAGGAAAGGGACTGAGCCCTTGCTACAGGCTGGCTTCTTGCCAGGCATTATCTATCTATCCACCTGTCTACCTATCTATCTACCTACCTATCTATCTAGCCCATGGTTTGTTTTTGGCTTTTTTTTTTTTTTAACTTGGACAGCGCCATGGGTCCAGAGTCCAGCCCTGACACACAGAATGACACAGGCCTGACCTCTGTCATTACTGTAGTTACTCTGCCACACACAACTAAAATAGATTAAAGATGAACTAAAAGCAAAAGGAAAAATCACTATGGGGCTGGGGATGTAGCTCAGTGGTTCTGCCACCTGCCTCGCAAGTGCAAGGTCCTGAGTTCGATCCCTGGTACCCCCCCCCCAAAAAAAATCACTATGAACATTTTGACCTGCCAACTTTTATTCTTTTTTCCATATAAATATTTTGAGCTCATTGACCAAAGTGGAATGATAACACATGTGTTGTTTTATTCTTATTTTTTTTTAACATAAACACATTTACATGCTTTGAAAATATTCCTCTACAGTATCATTCTTGTAACTGCAGAGTATGCAGGTATAGGTGCAATTCATCAACCTTTTCTTCTCTGTTGTGGGCATTTAGGTTGCCTTCCAGTTTCCACATTTATAAAGGATGTTCTAGTAAACTTTCTTACAGATAAACTGCTGCAGAGTTATCCAGTCTTTCAAGAAGATAAATTCCTAACATGGAATTTGCTGGGTTAAAGGATATAGATTTGTTTTTGTGTTTCTGCAGTACTGGGGATTGAACCCAGGACCTTCACACTGAGCCCCATCTCCCCCCTTCTTTTGAAATCCTGAGACAGGCTCTCACTGAGTCACTGAGACTCCCGCACCAGGTTCAGACTTGCAGTCCGCCGGCCTCAGCATACCAGGGTGCTGAGCTGACAGGAGTGCACCACCACACCAGACATAGTCTGGAAGTCACATTTTTGAGGCTGAATTCACCTATTTCAGGTGTACGGTTCTGTGAATGTTGACAAATGCTGTCAGTTCTGTCACCACCACTACAATTCAGTTCAATGATATGTATTACCATTGGAAAGAGTATTAGCAGATGATCTGCTGATAAAGTTGGATCCATCCCTATCTACCATGAACCTATTAAAAGTGGACATTGGGCATTATCTTTAAAAAGAACCCCCCAAAACCAAAAAAGTTCCAATTTGTAGGTGAATATTTCCACCATATTTTGTTTCATTTATTTGATTACTAATGAAGCTGGGAGTTTTTCACAGGTTTGCTATCTGTTTTTATGTCTTACTGTGAGAATTCTCATATCTGTCCTTGGCCTTTAGTTTTGGCCAACTGTTTGTCTCTCTCTTATGGATTTATAAGAATTATTTGAGAGGTCGGGAGTGGGAGAGTGTTATATCACGTTGCAATATATATTTTTGTCACTTTAATCATTGTTTATAGCTTTCTTTTTCCCCAAAAATGTTTAAGTTTTTGTAACCTCTGCATGTTTTCTACCTTGGAATTCTTCATAAAGGAATCCACCTTGGATTGCTTTCCCGACCCAGTTATATAAATATTTTCTTTTTTTTACATTTAAGTCTTTAATTCATCTGGAAGTTTTTTGGTATTTCACATAGAGTAAAACTCCAACTTTTATTCTTCTCCCAAATGATAAGCCAGTTTGGCTTCATTTATCAAATAATAGATCTTTTCCCCCTTAATTTGAGAAACCATCTTTATATCAGATCTCCATGTGCTCTTGCACTTTTTGTTCTGTTCCACAAATTTTCTTGACCTTTTGGAAAAGAATAAATATTACTTCATACTGTTCTTTAATACTATAGTTCTATAAAATGTTTTAATACCTGCTGTGGCAGACACTGGTTTTCACTATCATTCTTTTTCAAAATATCCTCTCAGGCCCTAATTATTCTGCATAAACTAAGAACCATATCTGAGTTCTGAGTTTAAATACCCAGTAAGAATTTTATTGAAATTTTGTTTATAATAATCTGAAAATAATTCATGTTTTGAAAGCTAGCAGTTCATCTCTGAAGAACATCCCATGTCACTCCCTGCGGTGAAGTTTTCTCTTCTGTGATTTTGTGAAGTCTTACAGTTTGTTATAAAATGGGTTCTGTGTACTTTTTTCCTTGTGTTAGTTCTAGGTATCGCGTTCTTGTCACCATTATCACAGCACTTGTTTTCACATCATACTCTCCAACTGATGGCTTCTATTTACAGCATTTTATTTATTAATTTTTATTAAAAGGTAGTTGATTCAACACCAGTTACAATATTTACATTTTTCTTCCCTCAGTGTCCTAAGAAAACACGCATGTCATTTGTAAATAGTAATTTTATCTTCACATTTCTGATTTTCATACTTAGTGTCTTTTTCTGGCATTTCATTATTCAGAATTATTTTGATAATATCAGATAATTCTTCACATTGTTACATTTCAGTTTCATATTTGCATGTTTTTTAAAAATCAGAAGTGGATGTTAATACAATACCTTTTAATGAACTAATCTTATAGTTTGGAAATAAGCTATGTGGCTACGGGATGCTGTTCTTCTAGCATTTTAGTTATTATCTTATTTAAAAGATTTATATTTATAATCATTAACCTTGGGTTTTCTTTGATGTTCTGTCTTTATCAAGTTATCGCAGTAAGGTTGAGTTATTCTCATGTTACAAAGTTGAAAATCTCACATTTCTTCCTGTGCTTTGGAACAGCTGAAATGGTACAATCCTACCTGTTCCTTTATCAGTGGCCCTAGCCCATCCCTATCACCTGCTCCAGAGCTTTGTGAGGAAGTGTCAGCTCTGGTATTTTTTTAAGGGTCTCTCTTTCATGCAGTGTTCAGAATTTGTGTTGAAATTCCAAAGATCAATGATTTTGAGAATCAGGCAGAGAAACCCTAATTCAGTTGTTTTCTTAGAAGAGAACGAAGTGTAGAATAAAGATGAACACTTAAATCCCAGGTGCTGTATTTCCTTCCTTGCTTTGGACTTCATTAGCTCTTGGCAATCATTATTTTTTTCTTATATCAAGTTTATTGATTCTAGGATGGTGTTCAAAGGTGACTCATTCCTCTCCAGAGCCTACAGATAGTTCTACCCTCAATTTCCTAAGAAATAAATGTAAAATGTAGGCTAAGAAATAAGATGAAATTTAAGTGGAGGCTGCTGGAGTGCAGCCTGGATCTATGCAACTACACTGATGTGTTTAAGAGATTATAAAAATAGGTTTTGTTCTCATCAAGTTTTTCATCTGTGGTAGAGATTTGTCTGGCTTGTGATGGTTTCCTCTCCTGAGCAGTAATGCCATGTATATTCCAATACAGCAAGATGAAGTAAGCATCTTGTTGATAAAAGAATTACAAAGGAAAGTCCTGATATTTAGCTTATTGGTGCATATGCATACATATTTGCTCTTCAAATGAACCAATTCTTTCAGCCTGCAGTTACTGCAACAACATGATGGTGTTTTCCTCTCTTCTGCCCAGGATGTCTGTGTGAAGGCTTATCTGGCCCTCCGCCATCACACAAACCTCCTGATCATCCTGTTCTCCATGATGCTGATGACAGGAATGCCCCAGTTAACAAGTAAAGAAGATATCGAATATATCCGGGATGCCCTGACAGTTGGGAAAAGCGAGGAGGATTCCAAGAAGTATTTCCTGGATCAGATTGAAGTTTGTAGAGACAAAGGATGGACAGTGCAGTTCAATTGGTTCCTACATCTTGTTCTTGGCATCAAACAAGGAGAGAAACACTCAGCCTAATACTTTGGACTAGAGTGAAAACAGTATTCTACTGCTTTTCGATCAGCATGCCAGGCACCCAAGTTGGAATTAAAATGCAACAGGAAAAAGTGGAAGCTGGCACTTAGGAAATATAGCTCTTTCCCTATGTGAACTCTTCAGTGGAGAAAAGAAAAAGTTGGCATTGCTGGCTGTTTAGTGAACATCAAGACTGGGTCTACTTGCAAGTCTGTTTCTTCTCATTTACTTCAGTGATGTTGGAGAATATTCTAAATTTAAACACACTGATAACTTTATTTTTGCACTTGATCTTAGCCAAAAGGCCAAGAAGTGATAATGATAACTTTCTTTTTGTGCCTGACCCTTTGACCATCTTATTATTGAGTGCTGTAGAAGTTCTTTAGAATAATTAATGACACTTGTTTTCATCTGGGTTCACTCTCAGTTTTGGTTATCTTTGCGTTCTTTAGGCTTGTCTTAGTTACTTTTCTCTCGTTGGTGAGACAAAATACCTGACACCCAAAGTTAAAGAGGAAAAGCTTTATTTAGCTCACAGATTGTAGAGGTTTCAGTCCATAATCAGCTGGCTCCAAGGCAGGGTGGCATCTCAGAAGAGAAATAGTTCATGGCGGGCAGAAGGTAGCAAAGCAACAAGGGTCAAACACAGCCCTTTCTATCTCTTATACCTTATCCAGACTACTTAGAAAAGGCAGGACTCACACCCTTAATCCTAGGGCCCTTCATCCTAGCATTGCACCATGAATCAATTCTAGTGTCACACACTCTAGATCCAGCCACCTCTGAAAAAGCCCACGACTGCATAAGGCTTTGGAGACACTCTAGACACAAGCTGTAACAAAGCTCTTTACAGAAAAAAAAACCAAAGATGTAATCATTGTAACTTTTGTCTCTTTCCTTAAATGATGCTTCCAAACACCTCACTCCCACCCTGCGTTTGCAGGTATACCAAAGCTGAGAACCCAAGTTAGTCTTTTCAGTGTGTTCTGGAATTAGCCTTTTACATACACACTGAGGAAAATTGGAATCTTACATCTCTCTGTCCCGGCTCCAGGGTTACAAATATACAACAAAGAGATGAGGCCTTTTATCTCAGCTCTTCCCAGAGAGCGAATTATCTAGTATAATTCCTGTAGCCCTCTCCCCCATCCCCACCCCTTATAGGAACAGGAAGTAGCTAAGGGGCTCTTCTATGCCTGCACATTTTCTCTCTCTCCTTCTCCCCACCTTTCTTCTTCCCCAGTTGCCCTTCTCCCACAACCCTGTATGGACTTGGGGAATCTTCAGGGACATCTTTATCCTAGAACTCAAAAAATTAGTTGAAATTCTCTACTCTAGGATTAATAGAATTGTAGGTGCATAGTTATGAAGACATTTAAGGAATTTTTTAAAGTGTGTTATTAAAGGGACAGTCTAGAAAATATGAATTAGTTTCCAAATGCTTTAATTTGAAATTTTTGATCTAAACAGTTCTGTCTTTTTTAATGGAAAACGCTGTTATATAAAAAGTATCCCCAGTTTGGAAGAACACTACATGCCCTGTCCATGTCTTAGTTCAAAGGGCTTTTAAACTTTGACACATTCCAGATTTCCTAAAAATAATTGTAAGATCTTTCTTTCAAAAATATCTTCATCTCAGGCCAGGGATTTAGCTCAGTGACTCTGCAACCTGCCTTGCAAGCACAAGGTCCCGAGTTTGATCCCCAGTACCAAAAATAAATAGATAAATATCTTCATCTCTTAAACATCTTCTCACTTAATGGAAGTGTTGAGCAACCTTAGAGAGATCATTAAACTATCTGATATCTTTACCTACTGGTAAGAAATTACATAGAAGTGACTATGTTCATGGTGTCTACATTTAAGTATAGTCAGACATAAATTTTCAAGTTAGATGCCTGCTGGTCTGCTGATGTAGCCCAAGCCTTTCTTTTGGTGTATGCAAAAGCCAAGTGGATTTAACCCTGTCTAGAACCAATAAGAATTACCAGGGACAGTTTTTAAAAATACCCTTGCCTGAACTCCACGAAGAGATTGTAACTTAGTTCATGGGAGATACACCAGTATTTCTCTAAGTACTCCAAGTGACTCTAATACACAGCTGGGGGAAGAAACCCTTCGTGGCCTTGGAAGGTGTAGCCAGGCAGCTCTCCCTCCACAGAGAATTATTCTTCCTGGGCAACTCCTCCCTTTAAAATCTTGCTCTACCCTCTGTACAGAGGACTGACTATGCCGTGTAGTGAAATTTTATTTCTTTCTATAAATAGAGCTTAGACATTTTATGACATTTCTAGTCTATAATTTCCTACCATTCTTTTGAAGAAAAACAGGAAGAATTATGCTAATTCAGAAGAGGATACTTTTTTTTTTAAACTGTGTGACTTTTTTTTTTAGTACATTCAGTTTGGGGGGGTTGATACATATTGCATTTCTTTACTCCTCTGTTCTCCTCTACCTTCCCCCCCAGATCCCTTTGCTGTCTCTACCGGGACAACCCCCCATTTCTTAAGATGGCTGTTTATTTTGCTCTTTAAATTGTTTATATTTTGGGTCTCTCAGATAACATATGATATTTAACTTTTTCTGACTGATTTATTTTACTTAGCATTACAGTCTCAAGATCCATCTATTTTCCTATAAATGGTTCAGAATTATCTTTCTTTGTGGCTGAATAGTACTCCATTGTGTACCTATACCACATTTTCTTTATCCATGCATCTGCTGATGAGCATATAGGCCACTACCATGATTTAGCTATTGTGAGCTGTGCTGCTAACACGTGGATATGTATGTATCACTGTTGTAGGATGATTAGCTCAAAGAGGATGCTTTAAAGAATAGCCAAGCCAAGCACTCAGGTGCATACCTGTAATTCCAGCACTCTGGGAGGCTGAGGCAAGAGGATAGCAGATTCCAGCCCAACCTGGGGAACTTAGGAAGACCCTGTCTCAAAATAAAAATATTTTTAATTTAAAAGGTTGAGGATGTAGCTCACTGTGAAAGCCCTGAGTTCAATACCCAATCCCCCAAAAAAACAACTTCCCAAAAGAACAGCTAATCTCAGATCTTTCACAGATTCTGCTTTTCATTTGAATTGCTGAAGTAATCATCTTGATGATAAAAGAATTACAAAGGAATGTATTTATATTTAGCTTATTGGTATATATGCATACATATTTGTTCTTCAAATGAACTAATTCTTTCATGAAGCTGAAATATGTGGAGAGAGGCAGAAATATGATCTCACATTGAGCTTTATTCTTCTATATTCCAATGAGAATGTAATTTTAACTTACAGATAAACAAAAAATCACCTTGTGTATTCCTTCCTTTACTATTCCCAATAAATTTTATGACCAACACTTTTTATATTTTTGGAAGTGTTTTAGAACTAAGGTTGTTCTGCTGCTAGGGACTTCCCACAACTGTTTTCAGTGCCAAATGAAAACACAGATCACAAGTCAAATGAATCAGGGCAAAGCAACTTTTATGTGTACCCAGGACCAGCTACATAATTTACTGAGTTCAGTGAAAGATGAAAATGGGAGCCCATTGTTCAAAAATGATTAAGAAACTTGATCTGGTGACAGCAGGGCATTAAAATTGAATCCAGAGCCCATTTCAGTGTGGGGCCCACAGTGTGGGTGACTATGCAGGTTGCATGCAGCCGGTGCTGTCTGTGTCTGAACAATGGCTTCCGTGCCCAGTTTTGCACCCAGAAGCCATGTCTGCATGAGCGCAGATAAAGTCCCCGGATCAGAATGTTACTTCAGGTGGAATTGAAGTACCTCATCTCTATGACCGTACACTAGGGCCTACAACATTGCTCTTGGAGTTGAACTATAGGCAGTGAAAGGAAAGAAAGATGTTTTAGACCTTGTCCCATAGGACTGCATTTGTCTAGCTTTAGTGACACTTGGAAAAAAGGAAGAGAATACTGTAGATAAAATATGTCAACCAAAGAAAACTCTTGATTTCTAAAAAAAAAAAACTGTGATAAATATATCTTTTTCAGAAAATGATTTTTTTTAAAAAATGTTAGATACAGGAACTGTATAACCTGATTTGGAAGCTGTTGGTTCTGTAATAATGAAAATGATTTTTTTTTTTTTTGAAATAAACTCAAAAATTTTAGAAAAGTTCCTGGAGAAAATTCTTATCTTTGGTGTGCCGGGTTTGCTTTTCATGATTATGTAATAAATTGATAACTATATTTAACAATCTGAAGAAAACAAAATAAGTTGGGATTTCTTACAGGTTCTGTTATGTTCTGTTGACTTATTTGCAGTTTCATCCAATCCAATAATTCTGGCCCCCAAGTTACTGTTAACAAAACAAGTGCAAATTAAAATAACTTCAGTTCATTTTCCTGCCAGTTTAGCAAAGACCTATACTAGCCAGGGTTGGCACTAATGTGAAAGGGCATTGTATCACACATTGAAATCTTTAGTGAAAATTGGTAAATTGATGCATGGCATTTTGATAAAATTTATCAAATTGAGAAGGTATCTACCCTCTGACCAAGCAAGTCCACATCTATATAAAGTCCACATCCATTCTGAAGAATTTATCCTTCAGAAATTCCTGTACAAATGTGTGACTTATGATCAAAACTAGTTACCAACATTCTGTAAGACCGCTGGCCTTACCAAACGCTCCGAGGAGCTGACTATAGTGAAGCACACCCGGGGATCCCAGCGGTGCCTCCAAAATGTAAGACCGAGGGCCTTACCAAACGCTCCAAGGAGCTGACTGCAGCGAAGAACACCCGGGAAGGAACACACCGGACAAGTTGGAAAGTGAAACAGACCTTAGTCTGGCCAGACGGCACTCCCAAAGCAAAGTAGCTTAGAGAGGCAATCAGCCCAGAGTCCGAGGCTCTTTTTATAGGGGGTTGCAGGGAAGTTAACAGGCGAAATTTACAGAAGAGGGAACAAAGGTTAGTGGTCTTACATTTGTATGTTAATTAGCCTGACACGTACTGATGGTCAGCAGATGTTTTGTAGATTGTTCTATAGATAACGGGTGTCCGGAACATCAGTTTTCCAACAAAGAGTTGAATAATTTACTTTGGGACCTTATGGTGATACAGATCTTATCTAGTGTCTGGAACTAACAAGCATCTTTATCTATTTACTCACATTCAATCACAGTTGGGGCTAGGGGAGTTTTATGATTACAAAGTTATGCAGTCCCACATTCTAGGTGATAATCAACAATTAGAAACAGCCTAAAACCCCTCAAAGGGGGCTTTGTTAACTAAATCACATTCACACGGTGGACTGTATTGAAGACCCTGAAAAGACAAACCAGATCAAAACATACTAGCATCAAGGTAGATCTGTAACCAACTGAGGAATGGAGCAAGGTGGTTACAGCACAGTATTGCACTACAATCGTATTGCAGTTAAAAGGTAGGTTTGCATGTACATTAAAAAGCCGGAGGGCTGGGTGTGGTGGCACACATCTGCAATTCCACTACTCTGCAGGCTGACGCAGAAGGATTGCAAGCTCCAGGCCAGTCTGGACAATTTAGCAAGAGCTTGTCTCAAAATAGAAAATGAAAAAGGCCTGAGGATGTAGCTTAGGCATCCCTGGGGTTTCATCCCCCAGAATGGCCTGGAGGATGTATTCACATTATACTACTAATAGTGGTATGTTTTTATTTTTATCTTGGGTTTGAGGGAACTTGATTTTCATTATTTGAATTTCTTAATGAGGAGGGAAAATGTAAGTATTTTTGTTTGGGGGGAAAAAAATGTAGTCTGCCTGTTAGTCATATCCTTTAGTTTACATCATCATTCCTCATTAAAAGCTCCGAGAAATTTTTTTCTCAATGGTTCCGCCGCCGGCCCTCCAAGTGCAAGGTCTTGAGTTCGATCCCCGGTACCAAAAAAAAAGCCTGTGAAGTCAGTAATTATCAGATAGTGGTATCAAAGCCATCGTGGGAACTTTGGGACATGAAAATGACTGTGTTGAAGTTCCCTTCAACACCATGTAAGACCGAGGGCCTTACCAAATGCTCCGAGGAGCTGACTGCAGCGAAGAACACCCGGGAAGGAACACACCAGACAAGTTGGAAAGTAAAACAGACCTTTATTAGTCTGGCCAGACGGCACTCGCAAAGCAAAATAGCTTAGAGAGGCAACTGGCTCAGAGTCCGAGGCTGTTCTTATAGGGGGTTGAGGGGGAAGTTAACATATAGAATTAAAGAAAAGGGGACAAAGGTTAGTGGTCGACTGTCACTTATTGATGGTCAGCAGACATTTGCAGCTTGTTCTATAGATTGTGGTGTCCGGAACATCAGTTCCTGGCAAACAAGGAGTTGAGTAGTTTACTTTGGGACTTTAGGTCTGTTATAGATTTTTATCTAGTGTCCCAAAACTAACAAGCATCTTTATCCATTAACTCATATTTAATCACAATGGGGCTGGAGAAAAGGAACAAAGGTTATGCAGTCCCACAACCAGACCCCATCAGACCGTGATCCCCCGCGGCGGCAGGGCAGCCTTGACTCCTCCCCCGGGCGGAGCGCTATTAGAGCAGGGCTCTGGGGATGCTACCTGTTCTGTCACGAGGACTGCTCGCCAGGTGCGGCTCTCCTGAGCTCTGCAAACCTCCCTCGGCTCTGGCCCTAATGAGCTCTCCACCCACATTTGAGGTCCCCCCTGGGAAGTGCAGAGAGCTTCATTCTCATACATTTCAGCCTTTTCTAAGCGTTCACTCATTAGCAGGATCCATCGAGTGAGCCTCTCTGCTGCTTTGTTAAGAAAGCCCCTTCTAGGGGTGAGTTCTGAGCCCTCCATGTGTCCTTGGCCCTCTGACTTGGATGATGTAGAACAGACAGGGACATCCATTTGCAGCACCGTGGCTGCATGTCTGTGCCTCTCGCAGCAGATGAGCAGTCTTCAGAGACTTCAACTCAGAATCTTTCCATTATACTTAAAAGTTAAAATAGGTTCCTACTGTCTGACAAATCCATCCACCATTACCTCCACTATTTGTAGTCAAGTGCAAGTGTTATGGCTGAACAATGCCTTCAGCTGCACTGAGCCCTCTTCTCCCAACACACACACACACACACACACACGCACACACGCACACACGCAGCACCTTTCCTTTACAGAATCACTAACCCCCTGTTCTACAAAGCAACCACCCTTGGGACTCCTGAGGGTTTCTCCTGGGAAAACCCCCACCCACAAACCACTGCCAAACCCCTGACTTCTCCCTGGCTCTACTCTGTTTAATCCTTGGTTCAAGAAATCAGAGAAGACAATTCCTCTGCCTTGAAGCAACTCCTTGCTCATAGTTTAATTGCTCAAAGGACATCTGCATTCGGAAAGTGGGTTGGTTGTCTTGACTCCTCTAATCTACATCAGAGACATAACAAAATCCTGGAAGAAATTCAGAGTAAACATGTCTGGCTGTGGACACAGATGGACCTTCAGCCAGAAACTTGGAGACAATCCATTTTAGAATCTGAGAAAGATGGTGTTGGAGCAGCTTATAATCATGGGTGGTTAAATAACTTTGGGATCATCCCAAATCCAAGAGCTAATCATCATCTGAAAAAGTTGTCTAACTTCTCTCAGCTTCAGCTCTCTCCTCGGTAAACTAGAGAGGACAGCAGTACCTACTTTATGGAATTGCTGTGCAGATTAAACGAAATAATAACAGTGAAACATTAAGTAGGCCTAGTGTGTGGCCTAGAGTTGGTGCTCAATTATTTCTTTCCTTTTCAAGGAAATGAAAAGTTCAATGGCTGCATCAGTGGAGTGTGACTTTTAGGAGTACTTTAAAGTATGGAAATCTTAATGATTTTCTAGTATGGGGTCATCATCCCAGTAGGATTTCAAAGGAAAAGTAATCTCCATTCTCTGTCAACTTCAGATACCAAGAAATCTTCTAAATAGTACTCTTCTTTGATGAGTTATTCTCATAAATGTAAATTAGCTTCTAGGTTCTGGGACTGAAGAAAATCAGAAAAACTGGAATGAACTGACAATGCTAACTCTGATTTTTTTTTAAATTTTTGTAGTTGTTATTGTTTTGTTTTGTCTTGTTTTGTTTTTTGAGAGTAGGTCTCTCTATGTGGTTCAGGCTGGCCTCAAACTCACTATGTAGCCCAGGATGGCCTTGAACTCATGGTGATCCTCCTGCCTCCTGAGTGCTGGGATTACAGGTGTGAGCCACCACATCTGACTGCTTTTTTTTTAAAGCACCTTTATTGAAGGTAAATTTCTTTAAACTTTGCTGATTTTTAAATGTGTATGCAATTCTGAGTTTTAATAAATGCATATGCCCATGTATTTATCACCATAGTCAAGATAATTCCATCATTCCCAAAAGTTCTCTTGTGCCTCTTTGTGGTGAATTCTCTCCTACCTCTCTTTACCGCTATAAACCACTGAAATGCTATCACTAGAGTTTTGCCTTCTTTTAGAATTTCATTTCAGTGACTTTATACAATCCATTGTCTTTTAGGGTTGGCTTCTTTCACCTAGCGTACTGCTTTCACAATTCATCTATGTTGCCTAAATAAATTATAATTTAGGCAGACTTACTTTCTGGACAGCTTAGCTGCTATTCACTCTAGAATCAAATGCCAACTTTTATTTTTAATTGTCTGTTGTCTTTGATGATCTATGCCAATGGCTCCTGCTCTATCTTATTGATAGTGACACCATTATTACTTTTACTTCGTTGCTGTTTATACAAGGCGAAAGGTAATAAGATCTTTCACTTCCTCTGCTTTTGAAATAGTGCAGGGCCAGCAGAGGAAAGGGCACAGGGACATGTGACATCAGCAGAGAGCCCTAAAGAAAAGGTCGTCTGGGGCAATGTTTCTCAATTGTTAACATGCACATGACCTCCGGGAATGCAGACTCTGGCTCCATGGGTCTGGGATGAGGTCCGAGAGTCTGATTTCCAGCAACCTCCTAGGTGAAACCAAGGCTACTGGTTCCAGGCTCCATCAGACAGAGAGCAGATGTCATGACTGAGGAAACCCATACAAACAAGGAGGCTCAGAACACCCCAATCTGTGCTTGAGATAATTTTCATCACATATGATGAAGTGCATACGCACCTGCTTCATGTATCATCTCTGATTTTTCAAATGGTGGCTTGCTTCTTTTATTTGTAAAATGAGCATTATAGTATCTATCTCTGCAGCAGGTAGATCTCTACTGTGGTCCCCTGTGATCACCGCCTCCTGGTGGTCATGCCTTTGTATGATTTCCTTCCCTTCTGCATGGACTGGGCCTAGCAACTTGCTCTGACCAAATACAATATGGTAAGGGTGATATAACATCACTTCCAAGATTAGGTTATAAAAGCCCCTGTCCTCCATCCTGCTGCATCCTCTAGCTCTCTCACTCTCACATGTTCAGCTTGATGGAGCTGCTTGCCACATCCTGAGATCCTCCATGTGTGGGGATGTTGACCAGAGGAGTATTTGAGATGGATATACAGAGGTAAGGTACTTTTGCAGCCACAAGCCCATGGTTAGAGATTAAAAGAGAGCCTACAGAGCCACAAGTCTAGGTAGGATCAAAATCCATTGCCTTAAGGAACGAACACTCTGACCTTTGTCCTCCCCATACTCCAATTTATCATTTAGACCAGTCCCAAGGGCAGTCACTTAACAGACCACCCTGACCATCTCCTGTCCCCTAGTAAGTTCTTGCCCAGGTGGCGTTCTTTTTTCTTGTACCCTAGCTTCCTGGTTCTATCAATAAAAAGGCATAGAGGCTTCAGTTTGCTGCTGTCTTTATGAGACTTGCATGCACTGAGGGGGTCTCAGTTAAAGGCAGCCCGTCTGGGTCCTCTTGGAATTTGGACTGGACATTGACTGCAAGTATTCCTTCATCCGTTGCACTGTGCCACAGTTGTGAACTGCAACATCTGTGGAGAGGTCTATAAGCCAAGGAAGCAGGGAGGTCTCCAGCCACCTGCATGAAAGCCAGCAATGCATCAGTGCATGGGGACATGTGTCTTTCAGGAGGAGCCTTGTGAAAGATCCTGAACCAGAGGACCCAACCTAGTCACACCTGGATTCCTGACCCATGGAAATGATGAGATAGTAAATATGGTAGTTTGGTGCCACTAAGTTTGGAGGTGATTTGCTAGGTAGCAACGGTTGTTTTGAAGATTAAAGAAGACAGAGTAATTAATGTATGTGAAAGAACTTAGCACAGTGCCCAGAACAGAGTAGTAGCTTGGAAATATCAGTCACTCTAAAAACAGCACAGTCACAACCATCATCAGGATTTGTAAACAGTAACCTAAGAATAATCTATGTGCATAAACTGCTAGTTTCAGCTTGTTGAGAAACCTTCAGACAAAAAGGCCTGACTTATACAAATAAGCACAAAGGCAATTAAAAGTCTATGTGCAGACATGTAGACAATTTGACTTTTGTCTAACTATATTCCATACAACCTCACTTTTGTAAGATTGATTTTCCTCGATCTTAGAGTTGGACTACATACCCAGCGGACACTTGGGTGATGATGGTGATGATGGTGATGATGGTGATGATGGTGGTGATGATGATGATGGTGATGATGGTGATGGTGATGATGATGATGATGATGATGATGATGATGATGATGATAGAAAAGGAGCTCCCACTGAGCCCTTGTTTTATAAAATGGTGATCCCATTTTTTCTTACTCTCCCTCTTCTTTCTAGTTTTTCCAAAGGTGCAAGTTCGATGGCAGGTGTCAAATCTAACACAAACAAACCATCAAGAACCATTTAAGGGAAACCAGTCCCCAACTCAGAGCTGCCACTCTTAACTAGAAAAAGACAATGATCAACATTCAAACACCTCTCCCACCTGCAGTTGCTGGCCATGCTTTCCCTCTTGCCTGCATTTAGATGTTAGCCAATGCCTCACAGGTCACTCAAAGACATCTAGAACTGGATGGGAGCTAAGAGGTGGTAGTGAAAGGTGAAGAATAACAGATGTGAGCATTGAAATTGGTAATTGAAACCCATATGAAAATAAGTGTGGAAACCCCTGAGACCAAACCTTCTCTACTCAGCACCCCTTTGTTCATTGTTACTATGTGCAAAGCACTCAGCTGTGCGAGTGACCCTGGGAAAACCCACACTAGTCAGGCACTGTCTGGCAGAAGGATCAGATACATTCACACCTGACTCTAAAGAAGGAAAACCTGGCTAAATCATCACCTACTGATGCCTGCTTGGGAATGGGACCAGAGATATAGACCAGCTCTTAACTAGGAGGATGAGATAGCATGGGATGCATTATAATAGGAATTTACATAAAGAGCCAATAAGATATAAGGCAGCAAGAGTTTGTTCTAAGGGACCAGGAGAGGCACCTAGAGAAAGTGACATTTGAGTTAGTTCTTGATGTATAAATAGAATCTCAGCATGGGGTCTGAGCATTCCAGATGAGGTGAGGGGAGACATGGTAAGACAAAAGCAACACTGGGTAAAAATACAAAGTGAGGCAAGAAATACTATGGCAGGAATATCTGCTGAGTGGCAAAAGAGTGGAAGCAAAGGGTAAAATGGGCAAAATTTAAAGGACCCTGAAGCTGAGCAGTGGGGTTGGATTTATTCTGTATACAGTTGAAAGGCACATGTAAATTTTAAAGGTAATGACAATATGGTCATGTATCAGTACACTTCAGATTGATAGTAACTAAAACCCAATTCAAAATGACCTAGCAAAAAAATAACGTGTTGGTTCATTTCACTGAAAAGTTCAGAAATGAAACTAGAAGCAGGCCCAGCTGATGCCAAGGAATAAATGAAGTCATCACTCAGCTTTATTTTCCCTTTCTTTCTCAAGGATGTTCTTCCCAAAGATGGGGCAGAGATGAATCCTAATAGCTTGGACTCCACAGAGAGAAGAGATTGCTTCCTCCCCAGTAGTTCTATCAAAAATCCAGGATTGATTCTCAGTGAAAGCTCTGGTTACCCATTGTGGAGGTAGATACACTGGCCAGAGGAAGATAGTGCCCATCCTTGGAGACAGAAGGTGGAGTCAGTACCACCCAAATGCCTTTTCCTTTGAGAGGTACTCAAAGGAAAATCCAAGTGCTATTTTCAAAAGAGGGAGAAATGGGTGCAGAATTGACCCCTCCTATTATGGTTTAATCCTACAATGTTTAATGTATTTGGAAAGTGATTGGACCATGGGGGCCCCATACTGACCAGTGGATTAATCCATGGATGAGTTCAGTAGTTGAATGTGCTACTAGGATGTGGGGCCTAGATGGAGGTGGGTCACTGGGGGTATGACTGGAAATGTGTGTTCTTGTCCTTGGCTCCTCTCTTTTCTCTCTGCTTCCTGGCTGCCATGAGGTGAGCAGCTTTCCTGTTATGCCCTCCTGCCGTGCCATTTCTGCCCTGGAGCCAACTGACCGTGGAGTGAACCAACTGGAAACTGGGACATGAGTAAATTTATCCTTTTTTATGTTGCAGGTGTCAGATATTTTGTCCCTGTGATAGGAAAGTGACTAATACACCTGCCAAAAAAGCCTGTCCATTACAACGTAGAAAAATAACTCTAAACATGGACAGTTGGAGAATATGAAGGGGAGGAGGTATCCAGAGGCAAGACAAGGAAAGACTCTACAACAGACTGGGCAAGAGAGAAAATGGAATGGACCAGGACAGTATCATGGTTATAACATAGACAAAGCAGTTCTGCAAGCTCTCACACAACATATCCAGGGGTCAAGAGAGAAGTTCTAAGAAATACTGGGAACCATCTGTGTAATGAATGTAAATTAGAGTGTATGTGGTACAGAGACAAAACTTAGATTGATCTTGTATATCATGCTCTTGTCCATATTAACTAAGTTCAAGTGACCTTGGTATGTGATCCCTTACACCATATCAGAACTTGCACAGCCTAAGATAGCTTCCGTTGAAATTAGACAAATCTTACACATATAGGTTTAGAAAAAAAAGAACTCATTCATATTACCTGTGGATTCATATTTTTCTTCAATTTGTTTTAAAAATAAGTGACTCAATTTTATGGAGACATAAAATCCAAAATACATATTATACTGATTTTTCACAACCATAGCCAATGTACATTTCTACTACAGCCAGAAGGGAAGAACTCAGGAATCTAAACTCTCTTTTCATTAAGAAGGCACTAAAAGCAGAACGGGGTTGGGGAAAGTACTCAGGAAGTAGGCAGTCAGGCTCCATCTAAAGGCAAGCTATGTCTGCCTCACTGGGCTTCATGATTCTTATTTGAACAAAGAAGAGATGGAGCTGAACTCTGTGAAAGTTTCCTTCCATATCGACCCAAAAGTCTCCCTAAGCCTGGGTACTGAGGGCTGATCAGACCCTCAGCTGTCTTTTCGGGGAAATGATGAGGAATAAAAAGAAAAACAAAATTTTCAAGATATAAATGGAGGACCAGGGCCAGGGATTTAGCTCAGTGGTGATGCCACCTGCCTCACAAGCACAAGGTCCTGAGTTTGATCCCCAGTACCAAAAAACAAAACAAAGCAAAAAGGGAGGACCAGGAGACCTGCCTCTAGCAGACAGACTTCAATAAGACCCCACAGTTGGCCCCCTTTTATTAGCCAGTGAGAAGTGCAGGGGGAGGAGTACCATGTGTTTCATGGAACAGCTGTATATTGACATCTGTCCTCAGTAGATGCTGTCAAGCCTCAGGAGTGCCGGGTTATCAGCATTCTGCCCATATCCAGGGGGCATGTGGCCTTCCACTTTCCTGTTCCAAGGCAAGATAACACTGACCTGGAGATCATGGCCTAGTCCCCAACACCTGAGAGTACCCCTTCCTATAAAAACTTTGAATCTCCTTGTGTTCCCCGTCTGTATCCTGCTCCGTATCAATTATGAAAAGCCCATTTACACGCCCATCAGAAAACACTCCATGACTAGGGAGCAGTATTCCTGTGTAGGTCACCTAGTGACGCCCAATGTGAAGAGTGTGATCATGGCCAAGGCAGAAAGACAGCATCCCTGCCATGCCGTAAGGGTGAATATCTACCACAACACCAGCTTAGACCAGAAATGGAAAGACCAACAACCAACAGGTCCAGCCATTTGGAAAGAAATGGAGTAAAAGCTGACTCTAGAAAAGAAGTGATTTATGAGGGGCGTTTTGATTGGACTAACACAAAATCACTCTCACTGAAGTACAAACTGGGATTTGTTTTGAAGATACAAATCTGTCTCACAAACCTTGGATTAGAAAGTACACCTAGGGCCGGGGATTTAGCTCAGTGGTTCCACCTCCTGCCTCGCAAGCACAAGTACCCAAGTTCGATTCCCAGTACCGAAAAAAAAAAAAAGAAAGAAAGAAAGTACACCCAGGTCTGCCCACAGCCATCAAAAGTCTTTCCCCTCTCTCTTTTCAAAAAAATAAAATTCAGGGCTGAGGATTTGGCTCAGTGGTTCCATTGCCTGCCTCGCAAGCACAAGTACCCAAGTTCGATTCCCAGTACCCAAAAAAAAAAAAAGAAAGAAAGAAAGTACACCCAGGTCTGCCCACAGCCATCAAAAGTCTTTCCCCTCTCTCTTTTCTCCCTCCCCTCTCTACCTTATCTTTCCCGATGTGTTCTTCAGGGTCTCCCTTCACACTAGCTCTTTTCCTTTGGGTAGAGCAGGCTGCCTCTCTCCTCTGGTTTCCTTATCTAGTTTAAACTTCCATTACCTTTGCATTCCAATGAAATTGTGCTAGTTCAGCTTGTCAGGAGTCTTCCTCCAGCCCAATCAGTTTGCATTGCAGATGTGGGCTCACATGGCTGCCAGGTTCTACCCCAACCACAACGGAAACAAGGGCAGGGGAACAGATGTAGAAGCTCAAAATCTTTCACCATCAATGGAGACATATGGGAATATTTTGGACAATTTTCTGTGATTTTTCTTGCTCAAGTATTTCTGTGCATATTAACAAATGTCCATAAAGACATTCTGGTATTTGCCTTGTCTACATGGTTTCATGTCCATAGGATCTAACTGGGAAGACACAATTGCCCAGTCTGAACATGACTATCCTTCATTAGTAACCATCACAGTGACAGGAAAAAAAGCACTTCACCCAACAGGAGTTAATCCTCTCTTTCACCCCACAGATGAACCCAGGTCATTTAGTTCTCCCCAGCTGAGTATGCAGCTGACATTTAGTGAGGGAAGCATAAAAATGATTTCTGGGTATGTGGGTGTGTTTGAAGCAAACACTTTTCTTCAGCAGCTTCTGATTTCAAATGAGAACCCCAGGCACTAGCAAGCACATTTAGTGCTTAATAAATTTCAGAAAAGGAATAAAAGTTACATGGTTTCCCTGGAAACCTTTTCAGAAAGGCTTGCACATGCATCAAGAAGCAGGTGCTGCAGCCTGGGGACTGTTCCCTGCCCTAGGCCATTCATTAAAGGGTCAAGGCTCCTGTGCAGTAGCTCCAGAAGCAGTGATTGGGCATGTTTTGTTTGCTTAAAGTTATTTAATATCTATCAGCTGGGTTGATGAGAAAAATGTGCTCAGGTTCCTTTTGGCATCTTTTGAATCATTTGCAAGTTCTGACAATCAAAGATAAGTGGAGGAAGTCCTATTGTGAATATCAGAATGGGTGATGGGGATTCCTCAGGGAAAAAGAAGAGATGGCTCACTGATTATTATAAATTATTTGAATCTCAATGCAGTCATGTTCAGACTACATTTCAGATTAGAATAAAAATGACCTGAAAAGGTCATTGCATGCAT